AAAAAAAGGAAAAGTCAAACTCCCCCTGGGTTTGTTGTTCTAAACTCTGTGTTCACGTGGACAGGACAGTGCTACCTTCAGCTTATTTATGTTTCACTCAGAGGCTCAAACATGTTTCCTAATTTTTTTTAAAAATGTGAACCCCTCCCTCTCCAACCATTAGCCCTGCTGACATGTGGTGGAAGAGAGACGCCCTGTCCACTCAGGGAAGTTGTTTCTGGAGGCATAATTACAGAGTGTTGTCACAAGAGTACAACTGAAGGAGAACCAACAGACTGCTCAAATGGAAGATTCAACTTTTTTGGTGTAAAATACTAATAAAAAATAAGAACTGAAAAAACGAATTGAGATCAGTTATAGAAAAGGCTGCACTCGGTCTTAACATAGAGGGAGGGACGGGGGAGGAAGGGATGTGGTGCACTGAAGGGACAGCTACTTTTTTGTTTGAGAGGCCGGTCTAAAGTTCGACATGTACTGGACATCTACTCTAAAGTCACATATTATAACTTTAAAATGGCAGATAAAGAACAGTGACCCCCCCCCCCCCTCCCCCTCCCACACACACACACACACACACACACACAGACGTCTCCTCACAGTGAGTCGTGGTGACTGTTTGACACTTTCTGCTGCCACGCTGAGTCTGCAGCACCTCCAAAATAAAACGCTGATAATTTCAGACACACTACTAACAGCTAACATCAACCGCTAACACTGAGTCTTTTTTTCTGTATGAGATTAGATAAAAAGAGATAAACTTTATTTACACACACTGAGAAACACAAAGACAAAAATAACTGAATAAATCTTTGTTTTATTTTAAATGATTATAGTCATTTCATATCATATAGTCATATCTCTTTGATTCTGAGCTGTTAGCTGAGCTGATGCTAACATTAGCAGAGTTTGATCCCGATGGAGTCTGATTTTGTATCAGAGTTCATTCAGTTCATGATTTGTTTCAGAGAGCTGAATGATCACAGAGTTTGCTCCTCTGTTAACACGAAAAGAGCCTCGTCAAAATCTGTAAACACACTGCTTTAAACAACTCCACATCAAAAATCTGTATCTCTGAGAGCTGAGGGGGCTGAGAGCTGGGCTGATGCTAGCTCTATCTTAGCTAATTTCTCTCTGAACTCCTGAAGACTGAAAATATTCATCTGGTTAAATAATCCGTTTAAAACAGTCAGTTATAAAAGTGATAACATCTGATGTGTGAGTTAAAAACTGCAGACTGACAGCTTTTGTCTTTATTTCTGCTGAGTGATACACTGTTATACACTGTTGTCAGTGTTTCCCCTAGGTTTACAGCTTTTGGGGGGGGTGTTTGTGTGTGTGTGTGTGTGTGTGTGTGTGTGTGTGTGTGTGTGTGTGTGTGCGTGTGTGTGTTTGTTGTGATTAACTTTTTCCCAGGCACCAGATGATGAAACAGATCAAATCATACAGTCAGCTCGGTATGACTCACCAGTATGACTCATGTGTACATTAATGACAGAGTACAGGTGTGTGTCAGTGCAGGTGTTCATCAGGTTTAGTTGAGTCAGCAGGTTTTAATCCTCAACAGATCCACAGTATCTGAAATATTTTCACTGAAGTCATGATTGTGTTCCAGCCTTAAAGGAGGCAAGTTTTATAAAATAATTTCATGATAACAACACAATGATTTCAGCACAGTCATACGAATACTTTTAAAAGTGCTGTTGTGTTTCTTCTACACAATCTATGATCATTTATTGTGACCTGTTTCTGTTTGACTGTTTAAAATATGATGTGATCAAAATCCCTCAGATTTTTCTGAACCCTTGAACAGATGTGAACATAAACATATGAGCCAGTGAAAAAGAAATTAATTTATTAAACTCTCCATGTTTAACAATAATTAATCAAATTCTTAAAATAATTACAAAGCTTTAATCATTATACACTGTTTATTTATATGACTATTCATTAATAAAACAGTTCATTTATTAATTAATTCATGGGGTGGCTGTGGCTCAGTTAGTAGAGTCGGTCATCTCTCAACCTGAAGGTCGGGGATTTAATCCCCAGCTCCTGCATCCACATGTCCGATGTGATCTTGGGCACTTTGCCCCAAGTTTCTCAAGCAGCTTCGTTGGCAGCATATGAATGTGTGTGAAAGGGATTTGTTACTTCTAATGGTCACTTTACATAGCAGCCTCTGCCATCAGTGTGCGAATGTGAAGGTATGACATGCTGTGTAAAAGCGCTATACAAGCTCAAGCCCATCTATCCATATATGATTTACTCTTGATTTATAAAAATCTTCATTTATAAAACTGTTCATTAGTCAAACTCTTCATTTAATAACATGTTAATAAAACTGTTGCCTGGCTGTGTTGGAGAGAAAGTGACTCATTATCAGTAAATGATCTCCATCAGTTCACACATTAACATTTGAACTTGTCCTCTGTTATTAATGATCAAACATGACTGTCTGTACATCACATCACACATTAACATGAAGGTATGACACAGACTGCTGCAGTCTTATATTTAAGATACACACACACACACACACACACACACACACTGAGGTGTGGTTTGACATTCAGCGTGTCAGCAGTGTGAGTGTGTGTCTGTAGTGTGTTCAGTTTATCACTTCTTCGCAGCACTTCTTCATTTTGATCAGTGTCTGTGTAACGTGTTATACTGTAAAAACAACATGACTGTTTGTACTCACATAAAAATTATAAAGAGATCTAAAAAAAAGATTTGTATCATATATTCATTAAATTCTAAGTGATTCAAGTGTTTTTATTGTCGATACATCATGTCTCTGGGACTCTGAATTTGACGTTTTTTCTTTTTCTTCCATGTTCCTGTGTGTACACGTTGATGTGGTCTTCACCTTTTCAACCGACAGGTGAGGATATAACTTTAATCTTTAAACTTTAACCATCCTCTGTGTTTTTTATTTAACTGCCTTTTCATCACAGTTCAATGATTAGCTTGGAAAAACAAGATTATTAAAGAAAAACTTAAAAAAGTAAAGAGCTGAGACAACACGAGATCCTTTTAGACAGACAGCTGAGACATTAAGAAGTGATACAAATAGTCCTGTTAATGTTACTTCACAGAGCTCAGAGGGATCTACAGTCTGTACTGTCATCAACGTGGATAAATACAAAACTCCAGCCAATCACTTTAGTGAAGTAAAGACAGAAGAGGAGGCTCCCTCTCTTTGAGGACACACAGACAGAAACAGAAAACACACATGAAGCAGGATTTTAATATCTGCTCAGGGATCCCTGCTTCCCCTCCTTCAGGTTAAACTCAGAAGAACACAGCTCTGTTTCAAATCTATAACAGAGATCAGTGTGAGAATAACGTCTGCAGGAACACGAGCCGATCACAGAACAGATGATGTGAGTAATTAAGAGTGAATCATTTATTATAAAGAACAGGCTAACCTGAGTAGCCACATGTTATCACTTGCAGGTCATCTGTGTCAGGACAAGCTGACATTCTGTTTGTCATTAAAGTCAGACAGGCTACTCATTAGATCTCTGGTATCATGCAGTGTTGATGTCAAAGAGTCAGGCTAATCGTCTGTGTGAGGACGTAAAGAATGTTTGGAAACAGTCTGAAGACAGGGAATGATGGAAACTTTCATATGAATGAATGACACTGCAAAGACACTGAATAGCTTCATTAAGAGACTACCAGCACCACAGCTGAAAATGTTGCTACCTGGTCATGATGGCAGCTCAACAACACACTGCTCACACACACACACACACACACACACACACACACACACACACACATATTTATAAAGAGTTTCCACAATTCTAACTTCAATATGTAACAAGTGAATGTCAAATTATTTCGTCACCAGGGTAATTTCTTGTGTTACATTCACATAAATTGCAGACAAACTCCCGCACACTCTCTTATGAAATAGACGTCAATACTTGTTCTTACTATCGATCATTAAAATAACACAGATTGTATCATTTAAAAACATGTCGTATCTAAAAGCAATCCAAGTATTGAACATTTTACAGCCTTTAATATAAATACACACAATCACAGACACACACAGCTCTGAGCACTCTGTGTGTCTTTGTATTGATTGTGCTGCATTGTTATTTGTGCGTCTGAATACTTCATAGTTTTGTCGTGTCTTGCTGTTCTTTACCATTCCATATTCCTTGGTGTGTGGACCACCTGCAGAGCACACTCATGCACCCACACACACACACACGCACTCCTTAATGACCCCTCTCCCCCTGGTCTCCTCCTGAGTGCTGACCTGCTCTGCTCCTTTAATATTGGTGACAGCTCGTACACTTCTAAATGATCTGTTATTATCTCAGGGGCCTCGTCCACGGGACCCCACTGTGTCCAAAGGTCATCCCTCTCTCTTCTATTGATTAAGGTGGTCTGTTAGCTCAGGGCTCGATCACTCTGAACACTAACACGTTACTAAAAGCTTCTCTGACCGACAAATACAGGAACCACTGCATAATGCATCTGCCAATAAGGACAGGAGGGCTACTAAAACATAAAGACACACACACACACACACACACACACACACACACACACACACACACACACGAATAACATAATGTATACAATATGTACTGTATGTATATACATGATCATGCATATTAGATCTTTATAATTTATATATCTACAAAATGTATAGAATGTTTTTAATGTATGTAAATAAATGTAAACTATATCATCTTTATGTCATCTTCACAAACAGTATATATACATTATGTGTGTATGTGTGTGTGTGTGTGTGTGTGTGTGTGTGTGTGTGTGTGTGTGTGGGTGTGTGTGGGTGTGTGTGTGTGTGTGTGTGTGTGTGTGTGTTTGTAGGTGTAAAAATAAGCTCAAGGTTACTCACACGTCTTAAAAGAATTCTCTGTCATCATCTGAGTTTGACACAATGAAAAACAAGCTCTCTCACGCACACACTAATAACTCTCTCTCTCTCTCTCTCTCTCTCTCTCTCTCTCTCTCAGCTGTACGAGCTGGACGATGATGAGAAGCGTAAAGAGTTTTTGGACGATCTGTTCAGCTTCATGCAGAAACGAGGTGAGATTTGAAATACACACATCTGCTCTAACAACATTTGAAATGCATTTAAATATACACGTTCTCCATTAAATATATTTAAATGAACATTTCTGCTCTGATAAGAACATTTACATACTTATTGAATATACAGCTGTTTAATCAAAGTTTTAAAAACACACAGACTCTCAGTATTTAAGGGCGCTCTCATGGCATTCACGTGTTGTATTCAGCATTATGTACAAGAGGAGCAGTGTAAGTGCAGGCCAGCGGGGGAATGGGGAGGGGGGACAATTGTGCTTAAGCACGGTACGGGACAACTTTGCCTAGTGTGAGTGCGCCCTAAGTGCTGTTGTTTTTGAAATCAGTTCATATTTTAGAGGTTATTATTAAATGACACAGGTGTTGAGAAAAGTACTTGAAAACTATACTTGAGTAAAAATAAAGATACCTCACCTGAAAGTCACTGAGATACAATTCAAAGTCTAATTAAGTCTTAAAGTAGCCAATTATAAATAAACTTAGGTATCAAAAGTATCTGCTGTTACTTAAGAACATTTCCTTACGTAACCTCCATCGGTTTCCTCTTACAGGAGAGATTTCTCTCTCTCCTGTTGTTTCCTCCCTGTTAACAAAAAACCACTAGCATTGTTCATAACATAACAATCAGTCTATTGAGTCAAATGTTGACTAAATGTGTTAATAATCAAATCAACAATATCAATCAATATCAACAAATGTAGAAAAGCCATTATTTCCATCTTTGTAGCCAGACAAAGGTGAGTGTGGTCAGATTTGTGCGTGGTTCTTAATAACACAATCATTCAGAAATAAGTTGACCCAGCTGTGCAGTGATTTATAGTTATGATTGTTTTAAATTACCTCTTCATTGTTAAATACATTACCTTAACACTGGTGTAACATCAGTGTTGTATGAGCTTTAAGTGTGTCAGTGTTGTTTTACAGACACAGGTAAGAGAGTCAGGGCGTTCATCAGTGAGAAATAATCATTAACATATGAAGGATGTCTGGCAGAGCTTTAAGGATCAGATGTATCTGATTTGTGTTGATGTTGAATTCTGAGATGAAGTGGGATGATTTGATGGGGCAGTCAAAGCATTTGGGGGGACATTGCCCCACCCTACTTAGAGCGAAGCCCGAGTACACATTCAGATAGTTTATTCCTTTCTATTTGATTGACAGCTCAGTGTGATTGTCAAGGTTTCTGTAAAAACAGATTCATAATAATTGATTATTATTAGATTATGAAAAATCAGTTGGTGGAGGGTCTCTTTAATTCTCTATAATTTTAGTATCAGTTCATCTGTTGTATGGAGAGTTTTTCTAAGAGTGAGCATTCAGCAGCTGTTTCACAAACAGGTCAGTGTTCTTAAGTGTTCATAATGTGAGGAAGTGAACCCCCCACTGCTCAGTATAAAAACTCACAATGAGGCTATTTCAGGAGCACAAGGTCAGAGACGTGTTTTTCTCTATTCTTTGTTCTGTTCACATTTTTAACATGTCTGAATATAAATCTGTTCTCATCAACATGACCTTCACTCAGGAGGGGAAAAACAGACTTTTACTGATTTTCCTGTTTGGTGACATCAGAAAAATGTGCTCTTAATTAATATGAAAAATAATTTAACAGATAAAACACAGGATGTTTTTCTTCAGGTTTTTGCACAAACTCTGTTCTCACCCACTGATACTGTCCAACATGTTCAAGATAAAAACTCACATTACACAATAACTTTCAGAGCTTGATCTCTGGACACAAAAAAGTCACATCCTGACATGGATCAATTGTGCTCTCTGATAGTAATACATGTTTTATAGATGTAAATAGTATACTGTTTAATGTCTGTATTTCTATTTATTACATGGAATTTTTGTAGATTGTAAAAAATGGAATCACTCATGTTTAATCACACTGGTTATTAAAAAAAAACAGAACAAATTATGAATGAAATAATCATTAATTCCCACATTACAACCTTTTATATTTGAATCTTTTTTAAAGTTACATTTTATACATGCTGAGTTCTCATAATACACACATTTATCACAAACATAATCTAACCCTTCTAGAAACTTCTCTGTCACATCTTTGTCTCACTGTTTTCAAATAAAATAACTTACTCACACTAATGTGAAAAAAACCTGTTATGAAATGAGGAATATTTACATTTGGATACGCTTTTTTTGTTCTTTATATTACTATTTTTGTAACACAATAGCATGCTCATAATCTCTGAGCAGACATAAGCAGGATTTTATAAAGCACCTGAAGTGAGATGTACAGAAGAGCTCAGTTATGACTAACTATGAACGAGACACCCGATCAGGTGTGTGATATGACCTCAGATCATATCCATAACACACACCTGGTCTGTTTCGGTAGTCAGATACAGTCTTCAGTGTGTGTGTGTGTGTGTGTGTGTGTGTGTGTGTGTGTGTGTGTGTGTGTGTGTGTGTGTGTGTGTGTGTGTGTGTGCGTGTGTGCGTGTGTGAGCAGACAAAGCCTGTGATGGCTCCTTTGTGCTCTGATAAATCCTCGCTGTGATTTACTGTCTTTTCTGATGAACCGATGATTATCTCTCGGGGTTTCCATCTTCTCCTCAAACACTAAACTTTTGTCCCGTCCTCGTCACGTCCGAGCTCAGAGTGGAGGGATAAAGAACTAGTGAGAGTTACCTTCAAAAATGTACGAGTGTTCGATCGCTGTCACCATAAATACTCCTCTTTATGTTCCCTTCCTTTATATTTCTCTTTGAAGTCTGCAGAGAAAACACAGAGCTGCTGCAGAGTTCACTGTTCACTTTATGTCATTATTGTCCTGATAATATTGTTAGCTTTACTGTTATATACACTGTGTTTGACTCAGACAGTGTCATTGTTCAGCTCAGCATAATAACCCTGTCATTTATTAAACATATGGATATTTCTCAGAGTGAAAAGAAAAAACAAATAAACTGCCTTTACATCAGGATTACTATGATGAAATGTAACGGCCTGTGAGACCAGACACCATCCTTTAAATCAACAATTTAAGTTTTTGACTTCTTTATCCTTTTCAAGCTCTTTGTTAACATGTTGAGAAAAGAAAAACGATCTTGTGCTTTTTGTAAAACAAATGTGAGGAGCTAACACAAAGTACTGTGCGTGGATGAAGATTATAGCATATAAACCATCATTGATTGTAAAATGAAAACAGGATAATAGGAACGATTATTAATTTAGTCTTTTTTTATGATTATTCAGCCTCAGTGATTCATCTTGAGATTATTGTATGTACATAACTATGAATATAGTACACACAGAGATTTGTATGTTGTACAGAGGTCAGAGGGCCAAGTACATTTTAGAGTTTCTAGGTGTACGGGTGAAATACTAGGTACTTTCATTGCATGCATTACAGGAAAGCGTTTCAACAGTCACACATTATTGAGCTGCTTAAAGTTCCTCTGACACTCCAACACTCTGTCTGGTGTCTCCTTTCATTTAAATATGTTCACGCAGCCTAGAAAAAAAATACCATATAGAAGTAATAAATATTCAAATTAAGTGGAGAACAGTTCCATGTGAACAGCATTTGAACATGGGTCAGTCGGTCCTAAGAGATACAGTATGCAAAGCTTTCATTCAGTTTTATTTGGCACATTTCTCCTTTTAATACTCATATTTAAATAATAATGCTCCATTTAATGGGATTAACACAGAAACCATTGAAGCAAAGTCAATCTACTTTGTTAATCAAAGTAACCAGTAAGTAAGTAAAATAGTAAGAAAAGAACAGCACGCTAACAGTTCTGTTTGTTTTATAATGTGAGACGGTGATAATAGCATGATCATACCTCCTACCACTCCTCCTCCTCCTCCTCTCCGCTTGTCCACCTCCTCCTCCCTTTCCTTCTTCTTCTGCTCCTGCTTCTTCTCCTCCTCCTCCTCCACCTGCGCCTCCTCCTCGTTCTCCACCTACTTCTCCTCCTCCTCCTCCTCCTCCTCCTCCTCCTCATTCCCCTCCTCCTCCTCCTTCTTCTCCAGCTTCTTCTTCTCCTTCTCTTCCTCCTCCTCCTCCTCCTCCTCCTTCTTCTCCAGCTTCTTCTTCTTCTTCTTCTCCTTCTCCTCCTCTTCCTCCTCCTCCTCCTCCTCCTCATTCTCCTCCTCCTCCTTCTTCTCCAGCTTCTTCTTCTCCTTCTCCTCCTCCTCCTCCTTCTTCTCCAGCTTCTTCTTCTCCTTCTCCTTCTCCTTCTCCTCCTCTCCTCCTCCTCCTCCTCCTTCTCCTCCTCCTCCTCCTTCTTCTCCAGCTTCTTCTTCTCCTTCTTCTCCTCCTCCTCCTCCTCCTCCTTCTCCTCCTTTTCCACCTTCTTCTCCTCCTCCTTCTCCTCCTCCTTCTCCTCTTCCTTTTCCACCTTCTTCTCCTCCTCCTCCTTCTTCTTCTCCTCCTCCTCCTTTTCCACCTTCTTCTCCTCCTCCTTTCCACCTTCTTCTCCTCCTCCTTCTTCTCCTCCTCCTTTTCCACCTTCTTCTCCTCCTCCTCCTTTTCCACCTTCTTCTCCTCCTCCTTTCCCATCTTCTTCTCCTCCTCCTTCTTCTCCTCTTCCTTTTCCATCTTCTCCTCCTCCTCCTCCTTCTTCTTTTCCTCCTCCTCCTTCTTCTTCTCCTCCTCCTTTTCCACCTTCTTCTCCTCCTCCTTTTCCACCTTCTTCTCCTCCTCCTCCTTTTCCACCTTCTTCTCCTCCTCCTTTCCCACCTTCTTCTCCTCCTCCTTCTTCTCCTCTTCCTTTTCCATCTTCTTCTCCTCCTCCTCCTTCTTCTCCTCCTCCACCTTCTTCTTCTCCTCCTCCTCCTTTTCCATCTTCTCCTCCTCCTCCTCTTCTTCTCCTCCTTTCCCACCTTCTTCTCCACCTTCTTCTCCTCCTCCTCCTTCTTCTTCTCCTCCTCCTCCTTTTCCATCTTCTCCTCCTCCTCCTCCTTCTTCTCCTCCTTTTCCACCTTCTTCTCCTCCTCCTTTCCCA